AAGACACTTTGATTATCAACATTTGTAAAATAGTAATGATAATAAAAAGAGAGTGTTCTTTCACTTGAATTTTCAAGAAGGAAAGTCTCAGGATGGGTGAACCTGTATTTCTGGATTCAAATCAATGAAATGACAGTTCCTGTCCCACAAAGTTCTTAAGGTCAAGAGTTTTGACCTTAGGCTTAGTCTTGACCTCAGATTAAGTTCACTACAAAAGCTGCAAGGCTCCGTTTTGTGTCAGGAGAGGAAAAATCACAGATTGACACGCAGCTCGAGACTTTGTTTACACAGAGCAGTGCATTTAGGAGCATAGGAACTTTTAAATTCAGAAAGAAATGAGCTGTAATCAAACAGAACCGAGCTCGGTAAACAAGCCAGCTACACAACAATTTGGGGATTCTAACAGCTTTGTTAGTTTTTCATTTATCCTTTATTTATCCACGTAGTCTCACTGAGCTACTAGAACTTATTTTCAAGAGAGACCTGTTTAAGGAGCAGATGGGGGTTAAGGGCCTTGCTCATAGGCCCAGGGTGGAGCAAATGAGGATGGGGGCTGATGTGGGTGCTTCACCTACCCCGCCCACATTTTTTATGTTGTCGGTACCTGGGCTTGAACCGGCGATCTTCCAATCACAGGCCCACCTTCTCTAACCTCTGCGCCACCACTCCTTAATAAAGGTTAATAAAGGTTGAATGGATATACTTCATTAGAATTAGACTTTTTCATTCTTTAATTGTTTGATCTGTGTGTTTTCTGTTTACACTTTAAGTGCACAAGATGTGTTTGGTTTTGTTGTGGAGGAAAAAAAGAAACATTTTATTTTTGTGACATTTATTTTGTAAAGTTACAGCTTTGTTAAGCTGTGTGACAACTGGGACAAAGCTTTGACTCAGAAATATATTTTTGTTACTACTTTATGGAAAGAAAAATATAGAGATAAATTGTATATCGCCTTTAATCTTAAACTATTGAGATATTAATTTTGGTCCATATCGCCCAGCCCTACATCACGGCACTAACGACCAGTTGTTAGGCTGATGGTCCTCCTTGATCATGTGAACAGCTGGTTCTGGATGTCAACAACAAACTGGTTGATCCACTCTGAGAAGGTGCTGTTTATAAGATTGAGTTTGTTGCAGCTCCTCAGACTGAAGAAGAAGACTTTTGGGTAAAAGAGAAAACGTTTCAACAAATTTTCTCAATTTTATTTATTTATTTATTTTTAATCCGTCCAGAGGACTTGACTGAACTTTGTTAGATATAAAATAAATTCTTCTTAATGTCATTAATAAATTATTTTTCCTGATTTAACAGGAGCCCAAGTTAGCCTTTGAAGATGTGGATGCCTCAGAACTTTATCCCTGTGTGATGTTCTACAGCAGCAACCCAGGAGAGAAGGTGGGAGCCCAGATTTTCCATCAGAATCCATTGACCTGGGCCTATAGGTCTTTTCCACATTTCCTCTTGTTAAACTCTGCGTTTTACCTCCAGGTGAAGATCTGTGACATGCAGATGAGAGGAACACCACGTGATCTCCTCCCAGGTGATCCTATCTGCAGCCCTATGGCCACTGTGCTGGTCGAGGCTACCACGCAGCTAATTCGCATCTTACACCGCACCGACCACTGGACCCACCGCATCAACAAAACCATGATCGAACGGCTGCACAAGATCAAGCCCTGCTTTAGAGAGTCGGCTGGCGGGTTGGGTGGCGCTAGCAGTGAGAAGCTGAAAAAGAGCCGCTCGGTGCAGAGCCGTGAGGAGCACGATGCTCAGAAGGAGAGCCAGGAGGCACCCCCCAGGACGGAAGAGGACAGGGCTCGCCATGGACGGCAGCACTGGCTGGGGGAGTTGTCAGAGCACCACTTGAGAACCCTGTGCACAGACGTGTGGCCAGTTCTGGCTGTGATCGGAGGGGCAGATGCTGGGCTGAGGGTGGGGGGCAGATGTGTTCACAAACAAACCGGGAGGCACGCCACATTGCTGGGTGTGGTCAAAGAGGGCAGCACCTCTGCGAAGGTCCAGTGGGATGAAGCTGAAATCACAATCAGGTACCTAATCAGAATGTGTTCACAGAACAACTGGATAAACCTGGTTGATTCATTCATGTCTTAGGTTTTAAACTCCAGAACTGCTGAGCAGATTTTTTTTGCTTTGGGAAATCTGGAGCTTCAGCACATTATAATCAAGATGTAAAATTATTTTTAATATTAGAGCCCGACCGATATATTGGTAGAGATGGTCATTTTGGCCAATTTAGGCGTCTGGGGACCTATCGGTATCTGCGATAATTGTCCCATTATCGGCCAATGTAACCACTTCTAATTTTCATCTCAAAACTGCTGGAACCAGCTGCAGTTGTACAATGTATCCAGCAGAGGGTGCATGAAGACTACTGTCAAGCTATGGCCGTTCACTTAACTTCCACTTTTGATGTTCAGCACAGACGAAGCAGGGAGCAATACTGTGTAGAGTATTTTGTTGAACAGACCATGGTAAGTTTATTTTAACTGATCTGTAAAATTAAAAAATTCACAATAATAAATTCTGGTGCAGCTGTGGCTGAGTGGTTTGAGCAGTTGTCCTCCAATATGAGAGTTGTGGGTTCGATTCCACCAGCAGTCACATCCTGAAGTGTCCCTGGACAAGACACTGAACTCGTCATTGCCTCCGATGTGTGTTCCATAAGTGTCTGAATGTGATAAAGCTCTGATTAGTCTTTGCAGTGATATAGTAGAGTGCGGTGTGAATGGGTAAACGAGGCACAGATTGGGTTGTAAAGAGCCGTTAGTATCTTGATAAGATAGAAAGATGCTATAGAAGTACAGTCCATTTACCATTTAAATCCTCTTCAATCCTCCAAACTGCTTGTCATTAGCTATGTGCCTTTCAATTTAGCAAGCTAAAGTTAGTGCAGGTATGTTGTCCTCACAACAGATGACTATGTTACGACAGAGCTTTAGGGCCACACTTAAAAAAAAAACACGAAAAAATCACATTACCACGCTAAGAAAAAAAAAGAAAAGCTTTATATTTACGAGAATAAAGTCATAGTATTATGAGAATAAAGTTGCATAAAGTCTTAATATTACAAGAATAAAGTCATACAATACTTTTTTTTTACAGCTGTTGTTAATTTTTTCTTTTTTTCCACGAATCGGACCCACAATATGACCTGTCAATCAATCCAGTAGGCATGTCAGCAAATGACCAATCTGAAGCTAAATCAAATTCAACTTTATTGTCAAAACTGCAATATGTACAGAACATACACAGAATTGAAATTACATTACTCTGAGACCCCTGGTCCAACAATAACTATTTAACATTAAAACATTTAATAAATATAAGCATAAAATGAAATAATAAAAGTATGATACTGTCCTAAATTGTAGTATAGCGGTATAAAAATATAAAAAAGTATATCTATAAAATAAAATGAAATGAAGGTCCTGACATTGACATTTGTATTAAAGTGACAAAGCAGCATATGGAGTGAATGTACACAGTATATGTATAAAGTCTTTGATATTGGTATAGAGGTAAAGTGACATGCATTAAGGCTAGTAAAAAATATATATATATATCAAAAGTAGTGTAATATAAACAGCAGTATGAATATAAACAGTGGGCAGCACGGTGGCACAACTGGTAGAGCTGCTGCCTCTCATTGAGCAGGTCCCTGGTTCAAATCCCGGTCTTGCCTCTCAGTGAGCAGGTTTACATGCAGCGGGCTTTGTTCTGAACAGCAGTACTGACATGCGCAGAGTGGTAAACTCTCCTTAAAAAAACCACCGAAGAAGAAGTTCTACTTCCGGGTGAACGTAAACAAACCTGAGCACCCAAAATGGACCCGCGACAGGTTTTAATGATGGTGGAGACGTTACTGCACTCCCTGACTGAGCTACAGGTAATACAGATCATTTTGAGCTCTTTCAAAGTTTCTAGTAGAAATGTTGTGTCGCTCACCGACCAGTTTTACTTCCCTGACATGCTAATATTATTAGCGTTAGCCAGGCGGAAATGTCAAAGTCGCACATGCGCAGTCAGGTCAGTTTTTCACGATCAGATAAAAACGAACAGATCAAGCGTTTACATGCGCACCGATCGGGTTTCGGATCGGCGTAAACCACCCGTTTCGTTCTGATCACAAATTATAACGGATCACCCCGAATACACAAAAAATAACCCGAACGGAGTGTTTACATGACACACTTTTATTCCGACCGGCCATTTGATCCGGTTACTTATGTCCATGTAAACATACCCTTTGTCTCTATGTGTCCCTGTGATGGACTTGTGACCCGTCCAGGGTGTACCCCGCCCCTTGCACAGTGATTGCCGAACATGGGCACCGGCGACCCCTATGACCCAAAATGGAAGAAGCGGGTAAAAGATAATGGATGGATGGATGGATGATTATAAATATTAGTGTAATATGAACAGTAGTATGAATATACAGTAAACAGTAGTATGAATATAAACAGTAGTGTGAATGTAAACAGTAGTATGAAT